ATATAGAATCCAAGCTGAAGTTCTAACGAGACTGTATTGTGATAATCAAGCTGCTATAAACCTTGCACATAATCCAGTTCAACATGATCATACAGAATGCATTGAGGTTGATAGACACTTCATTAGAGAAAGGATAGATGGTGGAGAAATATGTGTGCCTTTTGTCAAGTCAAAAGATCAACTTGCTAATTGTCTGACCAAGGGCTTCCACAAGCTGAAGCTTGAAAGAAACCTAGGCAAGCTGGGCATGATAGATATCTATGCTCAGCTCGAGGGGGAGTATTGAGATTATGAATGTGATTTTTCTTTACTAAGTTAAATGAAAACATTTTGGTGTGAATAGTAACACACCCTATTCTTTCGATACCTCTTCTTCTTCTTCCTATACTCTTCATTCCAACTATCTCCTTCTGTGAAGGCAGATGAACAGTTGGTGGGTGTTTTTGCTAAAGGAGTCTAGAAATTCAAGCTGAATTGTACTCTAGGCAAACTGGGTATGGTTAGCATCTATGCTCATCTTGAGAGGGATTGTTGAAATACGAGTATTTTTTTAGTTCAGTAGTGCTCGAGTTGTAATAGGAGTTTAGTGTTTATTTATCACCTATATCTCTTTCAGTGTTTTAAATAGCCTTTGTTTATAAGGCTGTTATAGTGAGTTATACAACCAGATATTAGTCAATTGCTATAGTTATAAAGCAGTTTATATATATGGAATAGAGGCTTATGCCTCATAATTTTGGCTTTCCTCCAAACAGTACTGTTTCTTTTTTCTTTTCYTTCTTTGCTTCCTTTTAGTCAATATATTTACATGCTAAAACAGATGGGAAAGAAACAAATCCTGCAACAATGACATTTACTTTTTCTCATTACAAAAGAAACCTAGATTTAATCTTGATAATAAGGAACTGAAAGTGCTAATGCCAAGAGATGGTGAAAGATTCTCAGCCCCAAGCATGTATAAGTTCAAAAACTTACTACAGTGAATACTTCTTAGGATTGTCAATGGGTCAGTTCTGCCTGACTGCCCGAACTGAACTGAACTGAACTGATTATGTTGGTTCTGGTTCCATGATTTTGTCCCGATTAATAATCGGGTTGGTTCTGGTTCTTGCTTGTCCAGAATCGATTAGGACCCTAATCGATTATTGTATGAAATATATATATAATGTTTTCCTAACTTTACTATATTTCATGGGAGATTCATCCAGAGAGCTCACAATTGATGGTAGGTTTCTGCCTACCTCAGAAGCTTCTTCGAGGGAGCTCAGGCCTCCTACAGAAGAGAAGATGGTTTTTGGTGCTCAAAAGGTAATCCCCTTTATTGCTATTCTATTATTTATTGCCCATTACATCACATGGGTATGATTCAGTTGTTACTAATTGGTTGACGTGGTCCTCTCATGTAGGTCTTCAGATAAGGCTGTATGGGTATCATACTGCTGGGCCGAACAGTGGTAATGGGCCTAGCCGTGCTCCTATCAACTCCCCCCACCTTGAGATCAATCTTGTCCTCAAGATTGATGTGGGGAAATTCATGCTTCAATCAAGAGTATTCCTCCCAGGTGGCTTCTTCTTCCAGCAGGCTGCTCCACACTACCAAGGCTTCTTCTATGTAGTACCTTCCCTTGTGTACCCAACAGAAGTCTACCAGCTTGTGGGGCTCCATGACCATGACTCCCTCATCAGTGAAGGCTGGGAGGGTTGCCTGAGTTTTGTCCCCTTGACCCACTTGTTTCTTGAGTAGTGATACATGAAAGACGGGGTGGAGTTTGGAGGATGGTAGAAGTTCTAGCTTGTAGGCGACTGACCCGATTCTCTCCAAGACTTTGAAGGGTCCATAAAACCTGGGAGCCAGTTTCTGCCATGCTCGCTTGCTACTGAGGTTTGTCGGTAGGGTTGGAGCTTCAAGTAGACCATGTCTTCAGGCTGAAATTCCAAGGGATGGTGCTTGCAGTCATATGTATCCTTCATTACCTGCTGAGCCCGCTGCAAATTGTTCTTAAGCTCCTGCAAGATTAAGTCTCGGTTGATGAGGTATTCGTCTACTGCAGCTACAGTAGTGGAGCCTGTCTCGTAGGGGAGAATGGCAGGGGGGGTCTCTCCCATACAAGGTCTTGAAAGGTGTCATACCGGTAGTCACATGGAAGGTGGAATTATACCACAGTTCTGCCCAAGATAACCACTTCAACCACTGTTTTGGCCTCTGCCCAGCGAAGCACCTCAAATAAGTCTCGATGCACCTATTAACTACCTCTGTCTGCCCATCAGACTGGGGGTGATAGCTCGTGGAATGAGCTAGGTGTGTCCCTTGGATTTTAAAGTACTCCTGCCAAAATCGTCCCATAAATAGAGGATCCCGGTCAGATACGATGGAGGCTGGTGTTCCATGCAGTTTTGTGATGTCTCTCACGAACAGATCTGCTACCTGTGCTGCTGTGAATGGGTGTGACGAGGCTGAGAAGTGGGCATATTTTCTAAGTCTGTCTACCACCACCATGATCACTGTCTTGCCTTGAGAGGGTGGCAAGCCGGTGATGAAATCCATGGTGACATCGTCCCAGACCTGATTTGGTATCTTAAGGGGCTGAAGGAGCCCAGCTGGTTGTTGAGTATCATATTTCTGCTGTTGACAGGTTGGGCAGATGGCCACAAAGGCCTGCACATGCTTCCTAATTCCCCTCCAATAGTAGTGTGCCGCAATGCGCCGACAAGTCCTTAGTACCCCTGAGTGACCGCCTTCAACATAGGAATGAAATAACTGTAGAAGCTTCCTTGTGTGTGAGGACATTGAAGGTAAGACTAGTCTCCCCTTACAGTACAAGAGGAGTCTTCATGATGTAGCCCAGTGTTTCGGTTGGTCCTCGGCCCATCTTCTTTTGATAGCCGCCAACTCTTCGTCGTTCAATATCTCCTGTTTGAGTAGCTCCAATAGTGGGTACACGGGTCTAGATTCTGCCATCAACTGTAATTCATTTTGTCTTGACAGGGCATCTGCTACCCGATTAGAAGCTCCAGTTTTTTATTCTATCAAATAATCCGTCTTTCACTAGTATAACTGGGGAGGAATATAGACTATTGTTGGGTTGTATGAACCCCTTTTGTAGGAGGTCTTGGACTAAGTGCTTGATTTCTTGGTGTTGATAGTATGGGTACCGGTAGGGCTGTACATTTGCTGGTGCTGCCCCTGGTACAATGGGAATCCGATGGTCATGAACTCTCTCGGGAGGGAGCCCTTGTGGTTCTTAAAAGACATCAGGGTACTTGGCCAAGACTGCTTGCAGTCGTGGATCTGGACTGCCCATCCTACCTTCATTGATTGTGGGCTTCAGATGTGGGCCAGGAGTCCAGGCCCCTAAGAGCATCAAGGTGGGCCGGTTTAGGTCCCAATTGGTTTTGAATATAGAGCTGAGGGTAGCTGGTTGTGGAACCAACAGCCTGGAGTCTCTTAGAGTTATGGTGCAATCTCCCCTTTGAAATTCCATGGTCAATTTGGACCAATCACAAACCACCCGACCCAATTGTTGCAACCACTGTACCCCAAGCACGATGTCGGCTCCACTGAAGGTCAATGTGTACAGATCAACGCAAAAGACCTCCCTTGGATGACTAGCTCCATGTCTTTACAGACCCCTTCACATGGTATCTAACTTTCGTTGGCAACTTGGACATTGAACTTAGAGGTAGGTCTAATGGTCACCCCCATCTGGATGGCCAAGTCATCTGAAATGAAATTCATGGTACTCCCACTATCCACCAAAATAGATACCTCCCAGCCCTTCAGTCTACCCATGACACGCATGGTTTGGGGCGACGTGAGGCATGTGAGGGCCTGCAAGGAAATCTCGGGCGGGCCAAGCCCAAATATCATATCAAGGTTAGTTGGGTTGTCTTCTTCAAGGCCCTCCACCGCCTGCTCTCCCTCTTCCGGCCCATCTGTCTATAGCAAGAAAGCCTGTTGGGCCTTACATCGGTGACCTAGGCCGAACCGTTCGTCACAGTTGTAACATAGGCCCTTGTCCCTACGGGCCTGCATCTCGGCCCATGTCAGCCTTTTGTAGGGGACGTTGGGCTTGAAGACTTGGTTCTCTAGTTTAGCGGGCCCAGTAGTGACTGGGTCTGGGCCGCTTCTGTCTTCAGGGCCACACTCCAACATAGGTGTCTTCAAGAGGGGTCCCTAAAGACGACTCAGTGGTCTTATGATTCTGTCGAATTTTTCTTCATAAAGCCAGGCCAGGCCTACAACAGCCATGACCGTCGGGGGTTGCATGGATTTCACCTCCACTTGAATATCCTCCCTCAACCCTCCGATAAAACTGCCCAACAGAGCATTTTCCGACCACCCCTGTACCCTTGAAGATAAACACTCAAATTCCACCTGATATTCTCTCACTGTACCAGTCTGTCTTAACTTAGCTAGTTGTTCATCGTAGTTTTCGAATCCAGTGGGTCCAAACCGCACACATATAGCATCGGTGAAATCTGCCCAAGTCACTTAGGGATGTGATCGGCGAAACCACTAGAACCAGAGAATTGTTTCTCCTTCCAGATGGATAGCGGCAATTGAAACCCTCTGATTTCCTAGTATTTCATGGTACTCGAAGCACCTCTCAGCCCTATAAATCCATAGTACAGGGTCCTCACTTGAGAAGTTCAGGAAGGTGATTTTGGTCTGCCACAACACTCCATTTCCTCCAGACCAGTTGCTGGGCTGGCTGCTACATTCTCCTTCGCCTTCTGTGTTCTCGCTGACAGTCGCCTTCTCCAGCTTGGCCAAGACCATTGATAGTGCCGCCTTGATCTCAATGATATCTCCTTCTAGTTTCTCGATACGCTCATCACTAACGGACACTCTCGTCCCCACCATGGTGTCAACCCAAGATTGGGCTCTGATACCACTTGGTAGGTTTCTGCCTACCTCAAGAGCTTCTTCGAGGGAGCCCAGGCCTCCTACAGAAGAGAAAGGAAGAGAAGATGGTTTTTGGTGCTCAAAAGGTAATCCCCTTTATTGCTATTCTATTATTTATAGCCCATTACATCACATGGGTATGATTCAGTTGTAACTAACTGGCTGACGTGGTCCTCTCACGTAGGCCTTCGGATAAGGCTGTATGGGTATCATACTGCTGGGGCGAACAGTGGTAATGGGCCTAGCTGTGCTCCTATCAATTGAGGTGGTAGGAGAGTAAAAATGGCAGGTTACAGTCAAGTCCTTTTATAAAGCTCTGGCTTGAAATCAAGTGGAAAGACATCTCCTTGGAGGTCTTTGGGGCAATCCAATTCTTCCTAGAGTTGAAGCATTTGCTTAGCTGGTTGCCATGGACAGCATACTTACCCATGATCACTTGTTGAAAAGAAATTTTTATTTGGCAAGTAGATGTGTCCTTTGCGTGTCTGAATCTGAAGATGTAATTCATCTGATGGTTGATTGCATCTTTGTTAGATGTATTTGGATCTTCTTCTTTCGACACTTTTAAGGTGGAGGGGTGGGCTCCCCGGTCACCTAAGGAAATCTTTAAGCAGTGGCCAGCAATTGATGGGGGAAAGAAAGAGGGTTTGCGTGTTGACATTGGATCAAGACTGTTGGACTGGATGCTGATTCTTCCAAATTTTGAGGATCCCAAAACAGAAGATTTTGGTTCTGATTTTTGGAACACTTTGGATCTATGCTAATTGTATTAAGAGTGGTTGTTTTGTTTGTTTTTTATTCTTTATTTTGTGGTTTTCTTTGTAGCTACAAGCGATGTGCCTTGTCACCCAGCCCCTTTGTATCTACTTTCTTCATTAATGAAATATCTTTTTTTATTTATCTTCAAAAAAGCATGGAAGAATAAGAAGTTGAGCGTTGTGGCTGGGTAAGTGCGGAAACGGAATACTAGGGTATAAAACACAACACACCACGTATGAGTTAATGTGCAAAGCTTGGTTGACAATACAACATTTTATTCGCCAAATAAAAGGGGGAAAATAGTGTGGAATGTACAAGATTTGCCATTAGCTGGACTATATGGGAAGGAAGGAACCTTAGAACTTTTTCAGACAAGGAGAGCAGCAGTTATTGAAGCTATCACCATCAGAGTGTTCCATTGAATAAAGTTCTTGGATTTATTTGATGACATACCAACGGCTGATTTGTATAAAAGCTGGAAGGAAGTGGGAGGTTTAGTACCTTTTAACAAATCCCAGTTGGTCTCCGCCAGTTAATGGTTTAATCAAACTCATCGTTGATGGTAGTAGTGCAGGGAAACTGGGTCCTTTAGGCATAGAAGGTGTTTTCAGAAACAAGGAGGGCAGAACAATTGCTCTTTATTCAGGTCCAATTAATGTAGATGGCTCTCTGTAAGGGCTGAGACAAGATATGGAAATAAGACAATAATGGGGTTAGAAAGTGCTAATTCTTTTGCTGATGTACTGGCCAAACAAGGAGTGGGTAGAGAGAAAATGTTTGGTGCTCTACTATAACTTGTTTGAGAGTTTAAATGGGGAGAGTTAAGAGAGCTTGTCACTCCCGTTTTCCATGCCTCTTTGTATTTAATTGTTTTTAGCTTAATAAATTTTCACAGTTATTGATAAAAAGAAGTTTATATTTGTGATAATGAGGCTAGTATGTACATTGCTTCTAATCCATTTTTTTATGGAATGAAACATGGCAGATTTGGTTGTCATTGTGTTCTTGAGAAGCTGCTTGACAAGGATGTACTACTCCATATATCTTCTGACAATTAGTTGGCAGATTTTTTTCCCTTTAACTAAGCTTTTGATTCATCCTTAGGTAGATTTTATTTGTTGGAAGGATTATATGATACATAGTCACAATCTCAAGGGGATGTGTTGAAGTATATGTTTTGAGTATTGGGACAGTTTTGTGATTTACCAAGAGGCTTTTTGATCAAGGTTTAAAATGTTGATGTCGGTGGAAATATCGGTCATACAAATATAAGAAACATGTGGGAAATGTCGGAAATATCATGTGGAAATATTGTAAAAATTATAGACATGGCGGAAACATTTTAAAATATGCAATATATAGAAAGATATTTTATGAAATGATAAAAGAAGCATAGGAACACCTTTTTAAATTATTATCTTGTTGCAAATTATTAAACAAAGCTAAGAAGCCAAGGTTATAGACAAAAGAATACGTTCTGAAGTTGCCCTGTAAACTTTAAGATTCAGAGCTTCATGATAAAATGAGTTAAAGCAAAATTTTAACTCATAGAAAATGTAAATGATTGTAATAGATAAACAAAGCTAATATTTAACTTCATGTTTGAAATGAATATTGAGATAGCTCAAAGTGGTAATCATGTAAGTTAGGCAGACAATAAAATTGTTACTTAACATATTTACAATATTGTACCAACTTATGTTATAATACTATCTCTTGGACTCCACATAGTATTGGTAGTGTTCACTGGGAAATATGTTGATTCCAGTAAAGTTTCATGTCGCTACCCATTGAAGTGGAAATGGAAATATGTTGTGGAAACTATTTGTTGTACTCCACATAGTGTTGGTAGTGTTCATAAGGAAATGTTGATTCCGGTAAAATTTCGTGTCGCTACCCATGGAAATGGAAATATGTCATGGAAATGTTAGGGAAATTAGGGACATTTTAAACCATGCTTTTGATAGAAGTGGTTAAATTGAATGGCATTGTTTTGTCTTTGAGACTAAGGAGGCTGTGAGTTCTTTAATGGCTGAAGCTGAAGTTGGGTTGACCACTACACTCAAATATTATTCAGTTATGTTATCAACAAAAAAAAGAAAAAACAATGCAATAAGTCTCTCTCTCTCTCTCTCTCTCACGACCATTTGAAGGAATCAGATAGGGCTGAGGTTCTTTTTTTGATCAATAGTTGAGGTCCTTTCTTTATGGTGTTCCTGTGAAGAGATGCTTACCGTCTCTTTTTTCAATGGATTATTGTTCAATGCTGTAAGTGGATTATTGCTTATTTGTGAACATTTGTTAGTACTATTCCATTTGTGGGTTCCTCTTTCGGTTTGGGCTTTTTTTTTTTGCTGTCACGTTTTACATGGATATCCAGTGATAAAGCAATAAGGCATTCAGAAGATTTATTTGTTCTTTTCAACCGTAGTTTTTATTTTGCTTTGGAGATATTCTAGATTTACATATCACATCTGGTCTAATTAACAAGAAAATAAAATGTATTATTCAAGGGATTTGTTTTAGAAATAAACATATAATCTATTGGCTATTTTCTTCAATTTTTCTTTGGAAAAGGTATAAGTGAAGGGTATATCAGCATTCATGCAAAGTGTTGTTAATTGTTCTGCTATAAATACTGTTTTATTTTCTAAGGCTCTACTGAATTATGCATTATAAGTATGCTTACAAGTCATTATATTGATTGTATGTCTACTTGTCATCTATGGAGTAACTGTTATCCTGTTCAACATTTTTGTTGTGTGAAGATGCTCATATTGGTACTTGCTTTACTGTATAGACGTATCTTCAATCTCTTACAATTCGGCTTGAGGAGATGAGAATCAAAAGGCGTGATTCAGAACAGTGGATGCATCATCGATTGCTGCCACAAGATCTGCGTGAGCGAGTTAGACGGTATGATCAGTACAAATGGTTAGAAACACGAGGGGTGGATGAAGAGAATTTGGTTCAGAGCCTACCAAAGGACCTTAGGAGAGATATCAAACGGCATCTTTGCTTGGCTTTAGTTAGAAGGGTAACTGTTTCATGTTCTCTCTCTCTCTCTCTCTCTCTCTCTCTCTCTCTCTCTCTCTCTCTCTGGGGGGAGGGGGGTGATCATTTCTAGCCTGGCCTGACCTGTTCCACAAATTTCAGGGCCAGGCTTGGCCTACTATATATTTATATACTAGTATACTACATATATAAACTTTATATACATGCATATATTTGTTTTATTTTATACTATACGACAAGTTATATATAAATATTATAAAATCACAAGTAAAATATATTATATGATATTTTATATTTACACAAAGGGGATTGAACTTGGAAAAAAGATGAGGAAATCAAGGAAAAGAATAGAATTGCTGAAGTAAAAGAGATGCTAATAAGATGAAGAAGAGAAAAGTGTTAAGACAAGATGGTATTCCAATGGAGGTGCAAAAAAGTATGGGAGAGGGAAGCTTATTATGGCTAACTAGGCTATTTAATAAGATAATAAAAGAAAAAATGAATGGAGAAAGAGTAGTATGGTGCCCATAGTTAAGAACAAAGGTGATATATAAAGTTGTAAAAACTACCAGGGAATTAAACTAGGGCTGTTAACAAAATTTTGCATACCAATTAAACCGACCAAACCGGACCAATTCAACCCGAGACAGTCTGTTTTTAAAAGAAGTTGGTTTCTGTTAGGAAAATGTTAAAACCTGATTATTTGGTTTGGTTGTGGGTTATGACTTTGAAAATCGAAATGAAACCAACCCGATCGACCTGTATATTAGTGGCAGAAAACCCCTGTTACAAACTATCTCAAAGACTCTTACCATTCTATGTTTTGCCTTTTGTTATTTGACTTGTGTCAGATGCCAGCCTGCTGTACCCATTTTTCTGACGTGCAAAAAGTTGAAATCCATAAACTTATAATATTAAAAAGGACTGAAATCAGAAATGAAAAATTCTAAAGACAAACTTTGCACTGTGCTCCACCATAAGATAAGCTGACTCTTTACTGTTGAAGAAACAGGGCTCAAGAATCAAGGTTCTTTCCTTAATCAATGTCTTGGAGATTTGGAGTCCCCTTCCCTTATTAAGTATCTATTTGCCACATGGAATGTTAAGGTAAATAAGACAAGGTTAAAGAATCAAGATTGATTTCAACGGGAGTAGGTGAAAATGCTAAAGTCAATTTTTGTATTCCCAAGATAGAGCATTAAAAGCTGCAACAACTGACTTCAGTTCTGTTTAATTCAAACTGACAAAACCTATGTCAATAATTAAAAATTTAAAGCTGGTTTTACTTTGGAATGATTAGTTTCAGTTGACCTCTAAATCAACCCGATAATTTTGTTTTGGTTGGCAATGTTAAGTGAAACTGAACCAAACTGACACATGAACAGCCCTCATAAGCAAGGTTCAAAATATCAATACACCCAATACGCCTACCGGCGTATCAGGCGATATCAGTAGTTGTTTTTTGCCTTTTTTTTATTTTTTTCAAAACCAGTTCAGGGGGGCCGGTTTAAGGCTCCTTCACCCCCCGAACCAGTCAGAACCCCGATACACCCCCTGTAGGGGCGTATCGGGAAGCCACTGGCACGAACGTATCGGCCGATATGTATCGATACTTTGAACCTTGCTCATAAATCATATTATGAAACTTTGGGAGAGAATAATTGAGTAATGTTTTGGGTTTCTATGTAATTTTGTTATTGATTTTATGGGATGACAGTCCTTCATCTGCTTGTACTAATCTTAATCTATAAGCAATTATAATAAAATATCTCTTTTGCTGATCAATAAAAGTAATTGAGCAAAGGTTATATCACGAAACAAGCATATCAGAGAACCAATTTAGGCTTATAGCAAGGAGATCAACAATAGAAAATATTTTTCTTTGAGACGATTGATAGATAAGTTCAGAGAGAAGAATGATCTCCATAGATTCAGCACTTAGCCCTTATTTATTTGCATTGATCGTAGATGAATTGACTAAACATATTTAGGAGGAGGTCCCATGGTGCTTGCTGTTTGTTGATGACATTGTTTTAATTGATGAAACTAATGAAGAATTAAATGCAAATGGACTAAAACAGTTTCTAAGTTTATTGATAAAAAAACATTTTTTAAGTTTACCCTAGAAACAAATGGTTTTAAAATATGTGGGGCTAAAACGGAATATATGATATGTGATTTTAATAATAATAGGAGTGCAAATGAGGATACACTTAGGATTGGAGAATGGAGATCAAGAGATAGCACAATGTGACATTTTCCGATAACTTGGTTAAGTAATTCATAACAAGGGAGAGATTGAGGAGGATGTTGCCCATAGAATGAGTATGGGACAGGTAAATTGGAAGGGTGCATCTGGAGTCTTGTGTGATAGATGAATACCACTTAGATTGAAGGAAATTTTCATAAAACAGTTGTAAGGCCAGTTATATTGTATGGAGCAAAATGTCGTGCAGTCAAGAAAAAACATGTCCAAAATATGAGTGGTAGAAATGTGTATGCTGAGATGGATGAGTGGAAAAACTAGAAAGGATAAGGTCATAAATGAAGCCATTTGAAAGAACCTAAGAGTAACTCAATAGGTAATAAAATGTGAGAAAGTAGACTAAGATGGTTTGGTTTGTCATGTGCAAAGACCATACCAACAGTACTTCTAATAAGGATTGATCTGTTGCTAGTTGAAGGGGCTAGAAGGGGTAGACCCAAGAGGAGTTGGGTTGTAGTAGTTAAAATGTTTTAAGTGCCCACAATTTAATAATGGATATGACATTAGACAGAACAAAATGGTCAACTATTATGTTATACACCATATAATACACATTATAACATATGATTTAAGTGCCCGTTATTTAATGATTTTGTATTTATACAAATTATAGCATTTTTTCTACATATATTATACACCATATATTACCTGGACGGCTGGACCATTAATCCAAGTACTTTATTTGTCATTATCTCGCATTCATTGTGTTTGCTGGTTGTCAGGTACCCTTGTTTGAGAAAATGGATGAGCGATTGCTAGATGCCATTTGTGAGCGGCTGAAACCAAGTTTGTACACTGAGAGAACTTACATCGTCCGGGAAGGTGATCCAGTGGATGAGATGCTCTTTATCATACGCGGTCGCCTGGAGAGTGTGACTACCGATGGTGGGAGGAGTGGGTTTTTTAACCGTAGTCTACTGAAGGAGGGAGATTTCTGTGGAGAGGAGCTCTTAACCTGGGCATTGGATCCCAAGTCTGGTTCTAACCTCCCATCCTCTACCCGTACAGTCAAGGCTTTGACAGAGGTGGAGGCTTTTGCCTTGATAGCAGAAGAGTTGAAATTTGTTGCTAGTCAGTTTAGACGCCTTCACAGCAGACAAGTTCAGCACACTTTCCGTTTCTACTCACAGCAATGGAGGACATGGGCTGCCTGCTTTATACAAGCAGCATGGCGTCGTTATACCAAGAGAAAACTTGCAGAGCTTCGACGTAAAGATGAAGAGTCAGATGGGGCGGGTAGTGAGAGTGCTACTGCTGTGGGTTCAACCAGTCTTGGTGCGACAATTTTTGCATCCCGTTTTGCAGCTAACGCTATGCGAGGGGTCCATAGACTTCGAAATTCAAAGGGTACCAGAGAATTAGTGAAGCTGCAGAAGCCTCCGGAACCTGACTTCAGTGCTGATGACGCAGATTGAACTGTTGTGAAACGATGAAGACAGTTGACAATGTTTCACCTGTCCTTTCATGGGGCTTAATATGTAAACAGTAAACCTGGTCAAGTTTCAATTAGATTTGATTAATATGGCCTAGATGATATTGGCAACTTGTATATGTGGAGCTTGTGGTTCTGGTCAACCTACATGCTATGCTGTAACCAAGAGGGACGGATGTTCCTAACTTCCTGCAACCTTCGTGTGTGCAAAGATTCCAGACCCCCTTCCCCCCAACCAAAAAAAAGGCAGAAAAAATGTTAATTATTTAAATATATTTCCATTCCCCAACAAATCACAATCAACAAAAGAAAAGGCAATAATAAGAGGGCTAATTTAAATAAAACCTTAGGGGCCTTGGGGTTAATTCTGTGATTCTTGACAATTCAAGTTAACTTATATGGTGCTAATTTTCAGAACGATCAAAAACTGGGAAAGCTTGGGGGCTATGTCCAACGTCCCCTAAATAAAGACCCTTTATGGGGTCTATTTTCAAGAGTAATAAAGTTGCCTTGTTTTGATATACGCTTACGTAGAAACTATTTAGTTCCTTATGAATTTGAAATAAATGGGGGCTAATTTTTTGGTAGAAGCATAATTGTTTTCCTAAAATGATATAACTGTTGATCAAACCTCCTCTGAAGTTTGGTAATTGTAATCACCTCTCTCCATAAAACAATGCACACTATGAAAAAGAAGAAAAGAGTATAAAATTGCAGTTTTACCTTATAGTTATTAATTGCAATTAACAATTAAATGATGCTCAACATCAGGCGTTACTGTTAAATGTTGAGCAAGGAGCTAATGTAAGGAGGTAGTGATGCAAAACATTATAAGCATGCAAATCAGAGTGAGAAAGTGAGGTGCGAAATGAGAATGAGTCGCAAGACATTGGGGCGCAAGATAGGAATAGGATGAGATAGAATTATGTCCCAGTCTCGCAACAAAAAAATGTCCTAACACATTCCAGATTGTGTTTGCATAGATTTCCACCCAACAAAAAAAAAGTTCCAACACATTCAACATGCTGTGTCCACACATCTCATACATGGGGGATCCCAGTCTTACGGTGCGATGTGTGGATGCAAATCATGTTGGGATAGTTTTTGTTGGGAGGAGATCCCAAGTCCCTGAATGTAGGGTATTAGTAACAACTACACATGTAAATGTGTATGGTGAGAAGAATAAATAAACAATAAAATGTCAGCATCAATAACCACCACTTGGAGATAAGATCTTACAAATTAGGTTGAGCTGGCTAAATATTACAAATTGAGAAAGACAGTATCTATATATCCTTACCATTAAAGGTATGAATGAGCTTGTGAAACCTTTTTGGATTAAAATATCCCTATTTTTTAATTCAATCCTTTAATTGAGTCATGGGTGTTGTGTGGCATCCGGTGCCATGTAGGAGTGCAACTTGGGTCGGGTTTGGATTGGAAATTTGTTAAATTTTCAACGGGTCTGAAGCCTAATCCAACTCGATATGGTTCAAATTATTCAAGTTGGACAACATGACTTGCAGCCCTGCAATGCAATGCACCAGATCATTTACATGTCATCACCACCCTCATGCCAAGTAGGATTGTTCATTGCTAGAAATGCCCAAGCATTCTGATTTTTTTTAATGTTTTGAATACTAAAAGACTCTCTTAGCAAGAAGCTAGCCATTGGCATCGAAATGCCTAACTGGTACTGATGTGGCAGTATTTCAAGTTCAAAAGACAATGGAGCCAAACATGCCCTATATTTTCATTAAAAAACAAATTCCTGTACTCTTAGAATTTATTCATCAAAAGAGATACCACGCTTCAGCTAAAACAATTCTTTCTACTTATGAAATTTATAGCAGTATGATAAAACAAAATTATACAGTAGAAGGAAAATCGGGCAGTATTTAATTCTCGATAGTCTTTGAATTTGAGATCTTTAAAAAGTTCACAAGCAGTAAAGGCTGACATTTTAAACCTAATACATTAGTATTCTACTTAATGCCTTCTTGTTTTAACCTCATTTTTCAAAAGCATCATCCCCGAGAGCTTGTTGATCTCATAGAGAAGTCCGGCAGAGAACAAAAAACTGTATTGGAAGAGGGAAAAGGGAACAATTAGTAACATTGTTCTTTTGTAAATGTCATAATATAATCATCAGTAACATTTTCTTGTGCATGTTTGTGCAATATCAAAAAATGGATAAACTAGAAACATATTAATAATGAAAAGAAAAAAAAATAAAAAGAAAATCCACTAAGGTTCAAGAGGCAAATACAACCTTCGATCTCCCAAAGGAGAAGGTGGTGCCAGCAGATTTTCTGGTAAAATATCTACCCAATGTAATTCAGATCCTTGTTTGGAGGAGCAGGAGCTATTTTTAAATGAAAAGTTAGTTAATTCATACATGACTGCTCATCAATGTTGCATGAACTGGCCAAATGGATGTGTCAATGTCCGACATGCCTCAGACCATGAATTCTTGAGGACATTCCTATGTAACAATCCCTTTTTATCTCCTAACTTATCTGACATAAATGACAACTAATGTACAAGATGAACACCATTATTCATATCAAATGTTACTTGTAACAAAGGCAACATTTTTTGCAGGCTTATGATGTTAGAATTCAAAAACACTTTCCATAGATGTGTCCACGAGTCTATGCTTTCTCATCTTGCTGAGTCAAGGCTCTTGGATATGCACCAGATTCCAACACCCTTGTCCATGTCCATGCAACACTGCTGCCCATGCTACAATCTCTTAAGAGTACACTATTTTCTCACAAGGAGTTCATCTCTACTACTACTAGTGTATTTGTACCTATGGCTACCAATCTCATTGAAGCTTTGCCTCAACCCAAGTGAAACAGGTACCAATGCTTATGGAAATGGAAGCTCTAGATGTATACTGCACTGGAAGTAGGAATTAGACCAATACAAGGAAGCAAAATGTGGATTTTAATAACGAGTAATCTCAAGTTCAAACAAGTTCTTATAAATGAAAGGTGCAAAAACACACAGGGTATCATTGGAATGATGGAAAGAAAGAGCTCATCTATTCATAACTTGGATCATAAGATGTCTTTCCATTTGTACAATGACTTCTGAGTTATGATACCCAAACACAAATATTGACACGGAAACAAATATAAGAAACAGGAATATGACCATCAATTTCCTAAAATCCTATACACAGATATGGGTACATTATCCAATAAAGAATGCTAATATCACGTTTTTATCAACTTTTGGAGTTCAATGTCAATTTCTTAAAACTTATGTCTTGCTTAATTTAATTAAAATTGTAAAATACATAAGTTGTAACATGTACTAATAGCAATAGGGGGTACTCTAGTTGTTTTATTTTTGTTATATTCTGTCAGATCACCCTAATATAAATAATAAACTGTTTCTCCTATCCTTCTATCTTCCTCTCCTCTTGTCTTTCTTTAATTGTTGTGCTGGATTATATGGTACCAAAGCAGGGACTGTAAGTGATCAAGGTTTTTCCTTCTTCCCTCAACTGGACATTCCTTTTTTGGTTGGTGATCAGAGGAGAGTCTCGATCTAATCTGAAACTCTTTTTTCTCCCTTTCTTCTTCTCTCCTTGGTTTATAATGGTGGTATAAGGGGGCTGTCTGGCTACTCTTTCCTTTTGTGGATTGTATGATAAGATTTGGGTAAAGAGGTGTATACTTGAAGTCCTTTAGAAGGTTTCTCGGTATGTTTTCTGCAACATAGAGTGTAATAAGGGCTGGTTGGTGTTACAAACATTGTTTTAGTAATTGGCTGAACTGTTGGGGCTGTATTTCAGTTCTGGAATTTCCTTTTTAAGGCCTGTGGGGGCTAGGGGGCTATTTGTATTGAGCTGCATTAGTTTCCAGGGCTCGTGGTACTTGGCAGCAGCTTCTGGGGGTACTTTCCCATCCTTCACACCTAATAGCAGTATGGATAATGCTGGCTTTCCTATTTCCATCATACCCCTTGATGGCTTAAACTACTTGGAGTGGGACTAGGAGAATAGCATGATCATGACTTGGCTGCTTTCCTCTATGCAACCCCAGCTGAGAAAGAATTTTATATTGGCAGAGACTGCTCGTGAAATCTAGGAGAAAGTGAAAGCTAAATATGCTGAGCAGAGACATTATGCTAGAGTATATCAGTTACTTGCACAATCTTCTACTTGCAAGCAGGGATAGAAGAGCTTATCTCCATATTACTCGATTCTCATTTCCATGTGAAAAGTGATGGACCAAGACTATTGAATGGAAGAGAACTGACAAGGATGCAAAGGCTTACAAGAAGCAAATATTACAAAATAGAACTTTTGCTTTCTTGGCTGGTCTCAACCTTATATATGAACCTATTCGAGTGCAGATATTAGGAAGTAAGGCGCTACCCTCAATCCAAGAAGTATATGCCCCTGCTCAGTCTGAAGAAAGCAAACAAAGTTCTATGAATCCTCTTGAGGGGGAGTAGATTGCCTTGGCAGCCAAGGGTGGTAATAGTGGCTATAAGAAGAGTGATGGGAGCAAAAAGATTGAGCGAGACCAAAAAGGACAAGCCTTTTTATGGTCATTATAAGTGTCCTAGGCATACTAGAGAAACATGCCGGAACCTTGTTGGGAAGACAAAGAAACCTGGAAAGAACCAAGCCCCTTAGAAGTTCAATGCAGGTAGTGTGGCTACCCAAGAGTCTCAAGGTGGTGGTGGTTCTACTTGTTCCTCTCAAGAGCACCCTACAAATTCTAACGCTGAGGAGGATATCATTAGTTATCTGAGAAAGCAGTTGGAGCAATGTGATAGAGCCTTGTGGTAGTTGGAGGGAGTATCTTCTCCTCCTTCTACCTCTTTTGCATCTACATCAAGTAATATTGCCTCTGCCTTCCATGTGTATTATCCCTGAGACCCGAGTTCCTTGGTTTATTGACTTAGGGGCATCCAATCACAAGATTGGTAAGTCCAACTTTTTTACCTCATATAGTCTTCTCTCATGAAGGGATAAATTAGAATTGTAGATGGTTCTTTCTCCACCATTGCAATGTCAGAGTCAGATCTAGAGACAGAGAGAAGGAGAAAACAGTAAGTGTTGGGTGTGTCAAAAAGTGACAGTCAACACCCAGAGAAAAGTATTTACATTAAATGATGAAAGGGCCATTCTGTCCCCAATGTACAAAAAGTGTATATAGTGTACAAAAGAATAAGAGAAAAGATTCTAATGTTACAATGTATTGAAAAGAAAAAAAAAAATCCCTCTATCCTTCGTTGTCCTCTATTACCCCTGAGACCCGAGTTCCCTTGGATTACTGACTTGGGGGCATCCAATCACAAGATTGGTAAGTCCAACTCCGTTACCTCATATAGTCTTCTCTCAGGAAGGGATAAAGTAGACTTATAGATGGTTCTTTCTCCACCATTGCAGTCCAAGGAATTGTATCCTTCCCCCATGGCCTTGACCTTTTACACGTTCTAAATGCTCCTAAGTTACTCATTCACCTTTTTCTATCAGTAGTATTATAACGAATTGTTGTTTAACATTCTTTCGTACTTCTTGTGTCTTTCAGGATTTGACTCGGGGAGGACAATTTGTAGAGGGAACATGGTTGATGACCTTTACATGTTGGAGAATAAAGTTGGTCCAAAGATAGTTGAGACCTCTATTTTGAAGTTGATCCATGAGTCAATGTAATAAAAAACAAGTCAATTTGTGGCATAGTTGACTTGGTCATTTGTCTTTTGAGTCTTTAAAGTAGTTATTCCTAGATTTATTTGAACATCTATACTTTTTTTTTTGTGTCAAACATGTCAGTTGAGAAAGCACTGTAGAAAATATGTGGAAAGTTACATTTCCTCCCTTAGAAATATGTCAGTTGAGTGTCAAACATGTCAGTTTCCATTAGGAGCCTAGGGAACTTCAAGTTCATTGTGAGATATAGTGGTTGAGCACTTGGAAAGAAGATTATCATTGTGGAAGGGAAATTACCTAAGGGAGGAAACGAAACTTCCCACATATTTTCTATCTATATTACCCTTACCTGCAAAAAATGACTAAAAGGCTAGAAAAAGTTACAAACGAAGATCTTTTGTAAGGGGTGGAGGGAGCAACATAAAATTCCATCTGGTAGAATGTGACAAGATTTTTATTCCTAAAATTGTTGGTGGTTTGGGAATTCAAAAGCTAAGGGTGATGAACATGTAGAGACAGGGACAGTGAGGGTTAAAGTTGTAATTTTACTTCTTGTTGTACATATTCTTTCATTCTTTTATTTTGTATCATACTTCTTGTATTTTAGGGAAAGAATTGTCCTTTTACTTCACAATAATATAAATATTATTTTCTTGGTGTGGTCAACCCATCAGACACACCTCAAATCTGTTCATCTTCTCTAGTTCGAACTACACTAACATGGTATCAGAGTAGGTTCAATTCTCTTGCTATTGATTTCAACCCTCTTTCTTTTCTGTTAAGCATCGATCAGGTCTCTCTTTTTTGCTTAATTGCACTGGTATAGTATATCTTCTTGGACTGTTTCTATCAACAAGATCTGATTTTTCTGGACCAGGACACCATTTAGGTCAATATTCTTTTGGTTTCTCTCAAGTGGCTGATCAGTTTGGGATAAGATCCAAGATCTTGTGTCATCCTAGGCTGCTCTTTCAGCCCCTATTTTTTGGTGAAGATTAGATCTATTTTTCTAGGGTTATGATCCCTTCTCTTGTTTGATTTCTCTGAGAACTTTACCTTTTTGGATTGTCAAAGGACTCTCACTTATTTTCAGCCTTCCTGTGATTGTCCTCTTCACTCTATTGCTCTCAATGGCTTCTGAAAGAGATGATGTACTTTCCCATTAAGTTTGATGGCACCACTACTGGGTTTGTTAATATTTGGACAGAGTATGAACTTGTTCGCACTAAAGGAGTACTTTTGACAGGAGAAAAGTAATGCACTTTCTTATGCATCCCCATCCTAAATATGAAGTAATAAGATCAAATATTCTATGTAGGGACACTATACCGACCCTTGATACTATCCTTCGTGAGTTGCTTCGGGAAGAAACTAGAATGATCACTCAGTTGGAAATGAAT